AACCACTGTGGTAAGAGAGGTCTTAAAATGAGGCAAAATTGAAAAAAAATGCGCTTCAACAAAGGTCTCGCTTAGTAACAAAAACGTTGGGCTCAATTCTGGTCGTAAGTCGAGGACTACCTGTACTTTGGGGGGTGGGGTCAACTGCGCCTGCCTCTGGAGGTTTGATCTTCTCAGCCCTTGCAAAAGTTGCTTCTCTGTGTAGTAGACAAACCATTTGCACACAGGCCCACCATCCTCTGTAGTGTTTTTCAACAACTTGAAGATGGGTGGACTTCAACTCCCAGAATCCCCCAGCGAGCATGCTGGGGGAAGGGGCGGGGTTAGGGAGGAACTTCCTTTTCCTTTTGCCTATTGGGACACAGTGATCTTAAAAGTACAGGAAGTCCTTAACAGCATTCGCTCAGCGACGGTTCAAAGTTATAGTAACACTGAAAAATGTGACTTGCGATGGGTCCTCATGCTTATGACCGTCACAGCTTTTCCTGTGGTTGCAATTTGGGTGTTTAGCAACATGTCCCGGGATCACATGGTCATTATTAGCAACACCAGCTGGCTTCCGATGAGCAAAGTCAATGGATAAGGTGGCAGGTCAAGATTACATGATGCCTCACTTAATGACCGTGGCAAAAAAGGTTGTAAAATCAGGTCATGCGATACACCGCTTAATTACCATCCTGCTTAATAATACATTTCCCGGTATTGGTGTTTGAGGCAGCCTGATTTGCACCCGTGACAGATGATTTAATGAGCCTGGCGGGCTCGCAGCCTCAATTTTACGCCTCTGGGAATGACCCCAGGAAGTGAAACTGACCACAAAGCATGCCAAAATGATGAACATTGAACCAAAAGGGAAATGAAAATAAGAGGTGTTCTTCACCCATGACAACTCTTAAAACGGGGTGGGGAACAATGGGCCTTTTATGACTTGTGGACTCCCAGAATTCCCAAGCCAACATGGGGAACGGTGGCCCATTTATGACCCATGGACTTCAACTCCCAGAATTCCAGAGCCAATATGGGGAATAGTGGCCCCTTTATAACTTGTGGACTTCAGCTCCCAGAATTCCAGAGTCAACATGAGGAACGTTGGTGGCCCCTTTATAACTTATGGACTTCAACTCCCAGAATTCCTGAACCAATATCAGGAATGGGCCTTTTATAACTTGTGGACTTCAACTCCCAGAATTCCTGAGCTAACATGGGGAACGGTGGCCTTTATGACTTGTGGACTTCAACTCCCAGAATTCCCGAGCCAACATGGGGAACAATGGGCCTTTTATAACTTGTGGACTTCAACTCCCAGAATTNCCCCCATCGGAGGTAGCGTGGCCGAGCGGTCTAAGGCGCTGGATTTAGGCTCCAGTCCCTCCGGGGGCGTGGGTTCGAATCCCACCGCTGCCAGATGGTTTTCTTTCCCCGAGGCTTTTTTGTCGGAACGGGTGTGTGTGTGTGTGTGTGGATACGCGGAAGGAAGAAGCGCGTCGCTTTCCACGCGCGTCGAGACGGTTTGCGCGTTTCTTTTAATCACGCGAGTCCCGGCGTGTAAAATCGCCTTCATGTAGACCTTTTCGCCTCCCATTCTCGCAACCGGCGTTGGTGGTATAGTGGTGAGCATAGCTGCCTTCCAAGCAGTTGACCCGGGTTCGATTCCCGGCCAACGCAGTTTCTTTTTTATTTTTCTTCCTCCTTGCAATTCATTTTTCTTTGGAGAACGTCAATTATATATTTCTGTGCAAGGGGCGTTTTTTGGTCCCCCCCGCCCCAATTTCATTCCGCCCCCCCTCTCCCCGGGCAGGACAACAAACGCCCCCTGCTGGCCTGTTGAATCCAAGCCAAAATAAATAAATAAATGTTTTCCAGGAAGCCAGATTTGCAAGGCCAGGAAAAGGGGAATGAAGAAATGGAAACAATTCTAATGATTCCTCGGCTTCTAGAAGCCAGCTGTTTGCAGGGCGTGCAAGAGGGTGGGGGAAAAAGCGTGCAAACCGCCTTGGGAAGAGGGATTTTCGGTTTCTCGTGCGGCTGGTCTACCTCGCAGGGGGGTTGTGCCACAGGATTTGCTGCAGGATGGGAACGGAAGGACTCCACTGGAAAGACTTGTGGACTTCAACTCCCAGAATTCCACAGCCAGGCATGCTCAGTCCCGATCTAAAGCGACAGCATTTGTTTTTCTCCTTTGCTAAATAAGTTTCCTTCTTTCTTTTTCTTCTCCCTCCCCCTCCTTCCTCCCTCTCTCCCTCCCCCCCCTCTCTCAAACAGACACACGCACACAGAGAA